TGAACCTGGGATCAGCTGGCGAGTCCCAAGCTGACCCTGGACTCCACATGCGCAGCACCACACAGCTGATCCCAGGGTCATCTATACAGTGCTGCCCCTATGAAATACCTAGGGGCCGCGCATGGAGCCCCGGGTCAGCTGGGGACTCCCCAGCTGATCCTGGGCTCCAGTGCAGCATTTCTGCAGAACCCGGGATCAGCTGAGGATTCAGCTGACCATGGGTTCCACGTGGCATTTCCTTGGAACCTGGGGTCAGCTGATCCTGGGTTCTGTGTGCTCGGGAGGGGGTGAGGTGTTTCACACTCCTGAGCCAGAATATTACAGCACTGTAAAGTGCCGGTGTGGACTTGACCTGAAGAGCACCTGAGCTTCTGCTTCTTTAATCATCTTACCACAGCCAAGCATTGTTTCCTGATCCATTCCAGTGATAATCTAGCAGTGCCATACACCCTATCAAGCAGCACAATCTATGTATCCCCACCTCCCCCCCCATCTGGATCCTTTTCAGCTTCTCGTCCACCTCTCATATCCTTGCTCTTGAAATACAGTAAACTCAAGGGCGCAATTTTGGGAGCACAAGGGAGGCAGCCGCCATGTGTACCGAGACATGGCTTCTGTGCATGCCTGTCACACCTAACTAGTAAAAAGAGGGAGCAGAGGAGTAATTCACAAAATCTGTGTACTTTGTCCTTGCTCTCCAATTGTCTGGGGAACAGGAAGAAAAGCAAGCAGCATCCCAGGACACGTGGTTGCAGCCCCCCTGCTCTCCCAAAATTGAGCCCTTGAGTAAACTCTTCTTTCCTCTGGAACTGTTGAGTCTCATGAGTGTGGAAAATCCCCAATCATATAGTCACTTTCTCATGCTGGTATTCATCCATCGTATGTTGTTTTTCTGTCCCCTGTATGTCATCATTATCTTTCCTTAGGCTCTGGTCCCTGGCTATCTCCATCGTCGCTTCCTCTCTCCAGCAGGGACTAGTTCTGGTATCCTTTCTTTTCTTCCTGACCACCCCATCTCCTGCCTGGTTTTGCTCCTCATTCCCAATGCAGCAAACGTATTATTCAACTTGATTTCACCAGCACTAGCTGGTCTCTTCCTCTGCCTTATTCAGAATTTTTCCTGTGGCCTTTTAATGAAACTTTAGCTAATTGCAGTGCAATTATAGTTGACATTACTTTGATCACTGGGCAGTATAACAGTAGCTATTATGATGTATACAGTATATATCAAAACACACACTTGCAGTATTCTCAAAGAAAGCAAGCAGTGAGTATGTTTAATAAGAGACAAAGGCATATCTCAGAAGTGGGATTCAGCTGACCATGGGTTCCACGTGGCATTTCCTTGGAACCTGGGGTCAGCTGATCCTGGGTTCTGTGTGCTCGGGAGGGGGTGAGGTGTTTCACACTCCTGAGCCAGAATATTACAGCACTGTAAAGTGCCGGTGTGGACTTGACCTGAAGAGCACCTGAGCTTCTGCTTCTTTAATCATCTTACCACAGCCAAGCATTGTTTCCTGATCCATTCCAGTGATAATCTAGCAGTGCCATACACCCTATCAAGCAGCACAATCTATGTATCCCCACCTCCCCCCCCATCTGGATCCTTTTCAGCTTCTCGTCCACCTCTCATATCCTTGCTCTTGAAATACAGTAAACTCAAGGGCGCAATTTTGGGAGCACAAGGGAGGCAGCCGCCATGTGTACCGAGACATGGCTTCTGTGCATGCCTGTCACACCTAACTAGTAAAAAGAGGGAGCAGAGGAGTAATTCACAAAATCTGTGTACTTTGTCCTTGCTCTCCAATTGTCTGGGGAACAGGAAGAAAAGCAAGCAGCATCCCAGGACACGTGGTTGCAGCCCCCCTGCTCTCCCAAAATTGAGCCCTTGAGTAAACTCTTCTTTCCTCTGGAACTGTTGAGTCTCATGAGTGTGGAAAATCCCCAATCATATAGTCACTTTCTCATGCTGGTATTCATCCATCGTATGTTGTTTTTCTGTCCCCTGTATGTCATCATTATCTTTCCTTAGGCTCTGGTCCCTGGCTATCTCCATCGTCGCTTCCTCTCTCCAGCAGGGACTAGTTCTGGTATCCTTTCTTTTCTTCCTGACCACCCCATCTCCTGCCTGGTTTTGCTCCTCATTCCCAATGCAGCAAACGTATTATTCAACTTGATTTCACCAGCACTAGCTGGTCTCTTCCTCTGCCTTATTCAGAATTTTTCCTGTGGCCTTTTAATGAAACTTTAGCTAATTGCAGTGCAATTATAGTTGACATTACTTTGATCACTGGGCAGTATAACAGTAGCTATTATGATGTATACAGTATATATCAAAACACACACTTGCAGTATTCTCAAAGAAAGCAAGCAGTGAGTATGTTTAATAAGAGACAAAGGCATATCTCAGAAGTGTGATGAAAAAATGGATTTTTTTTCAGTTTCACTGACAATTTCGATAGGGGGGAAAGAAGAATCGGGAAAAAAATAATTTTGTATTGAAGTAAGCTTTTTAAAAAAATTTTCATGAATCAAAACATTGAAAAAATACTTGGTTTCTAATTAAATGTTTTGTTTGACATAAAATGACACATTTAATTTAAGATTTCATGTGCTTGAATTTTTAAAATAAAATTTAAGGACATTTTGAAATGAAAAGATATTGTGAACTGAAAAATTGAAATGTTACCTTTAAAATGTTTAAAAATTCCTGAAAAAAACCTACCCAATACTTTGTTTGTTTTGAAGACAAAGAGGAGCCACAAACAATTCAATGAAACCTATATACATTTATGAAATTTGGTAATCACCAAATCTCCATTTTTTTACTGCAGTATGTTTTGCCCAAAAGGCTGAAGTAATGTACCTAGATCAAGCAAAGCACTCCAACAACTTCCTGATGGGCTTCTTCTCCTTCGAGAATAAAAAATAGCGATATTAAATATGGAATGAGATGATAACATCAATGCTAATGATTGTATGCAGACTTTCAAAAACACCATTTTTTAAAAACCCATTTATTCTTCCTGTTGGTCATGATACAATCTTCAGATCAAATCTAATATGATTTAATTTTTTCTCTTAGATTATTCTGAAGAGAAAATAAAGAAAACTAAATAAAATGGTCTCTCTTTAAGTTTATATTAGGCTATGCTTTCCCTATTAATCTTCTAACTCATTAATTATTAATTATTATTATTTATTATTAGAAGACAATCTTTCTATTAAACGGCACCATTCTTGTCTGTCTGTTATGGGATTTTCAACTTGCTGCTCCTGTGCATGCGCCAATGTGGCTGCCCCCGACAGCTCCTTCAGGTGTGCTCTGTCGCCTGGCCATACAGCTCCACTCCAGCTCCTCCTAGCAGTTAGCAACACCTTGAATCATACTTAGCCATCCAATCTTTCTCCTAAATTGCTAGCTTAAAACTTTATTTTTGACTTTTTGGTGGACTTTTTGATTATTTTGAGTCTTTTAGTACGCTGTTAGAAAGACTGGCTGTTTAAAAAGTTTTTTTTATTATTTTGAGTCTTTTGGTGTGCTTTTAGAAAGATTGTTTATAAAATAGATATGATTACAAAGAGGTATCTTTGTGTCCTTGGAGTCACCTTGGGTGCCTAAATCTTTTTTTTTTTTTTTTTTTTTTTTTGATAAAAATTAAAGCTGAATTCTTAAGTGATACTCAAAATCCCTTACTCTTGGGGATATTCCTACTGAAATCAATAGCACTAACTAACATTCAAATAAATAGGCTTTAGCCATGAACATCTGATCATGTAACCATAGTCTAGTTCATGGGTTCTCAGCCTAGCAGTCATGGCTAGAGTTGGGTGAAGTTTTTTGGACAAATCAGTTCAAAACAGTTTTGAACAATTTAAAAGATTTTTGAACAAATCAGTTCAAAACAGTTTTGAACAATCTAAAACATTTTACATGACTATCACAAATAGTTTTGGCTTTTTTTTCCCCTTGATTTTGGCCCTAGTCACAAAATAGCTGGAGGAGAACGAGGTCATGGTGATCCTCATTTATAATTTTTAGGATTCAGGGTCCAATCCCACTCTGCCTAACACAGCAGGGATGTGAACTTGGGTCAGGCAGAAGGAATGAAAATGGCTCTGTAGCCTTGTGGTTATTACATTCTTTTGGGTGGTGGTGACCCTGTCCCTGCTCTAATGCTTATTAATGTATTTTATACAAAGATGACCAGCTTCAGAAGAAAACTCTCTAGCCCCATAGTTAGGGTGCTTTCGGATGTTTTCATTTGAACTATTTTTTTAACTTGAACTGGACTTTTTTTTTGATTTGCAAACATTTGTCAGGAATTTTCTGAATCATTTTGGGTAAAATAAAAATTAAGGGGTCGGGAGGAGAGACTGCTTGCAAATTATTTGCCCAGCTGTAGTCATGACTATGCAAGAGGACTGTTAGATGGGATAAGAAGCAGGGTTGGTAAAATTGTTTCTCTGTTGTAACATGGGGAGCATGGTATGGAGGCGATTGAGAAGCACTGATCTAGATGATTTCTAAAGGTTAGAAACTGTATTAGAAACCAGAGAGCATTCACACCACACATGTAAAAAACAGTCAATCTATTTTCTGAAAAAAATGTTTAGTGGATTCAGGAGCTTCACTTTAATCTAGACAGCAATGCATCTTGATTGCTTAGCTGCTTCAGCCATTTGCTTGGACTTAGAATGCTGTTTAAACTTCACCAAACTTTGGGCTCTAGAAGGATAATCTTTCTTTCACCAATGTTGCAGAATGATGATCATAAAATAACCACAATGTATGTGTAGAGCATGCCAAAGAGTTCTTCTGAAAGATGGAAAAATATTGTGTATGTACAAGTTATTATAACAAGTGAAATACTTAATACTGTAGTGAACAATTAGATATGTCGATTACACTAAAAGAAAGATAATTGTAATAGCTTTAAAAAATAGCCTTAGCAGCCACACTATATGATTTTCATGATGTTTTGTTCAATTTCTTACAGGCAACTTCAAAAAATTGTACACGATATCAAGAAAAATGAAAGTGGAATAATGAGCAAGTTCAAAAAGTAAGTTTAAATGTTGATACAATTGTACCTCGTTTAAAGTTCAGAATATTTAGCATGTGGTATGTGGTATGACCATTCTGAGGGTAGGACCGTGTGTTTCTAGATAGACATATACCAATAACAACTTTAGCCCAGAGCTGCTCCACATGCAAAACACATTGGCTCAAATGTAGGTCAAGTGTTAGTAGTATACAACTTCAGTGAAGTCAGTATAAGTGCACCTGCTTAAGCAGGTCTGAATTCATCCCATGGATTATTCATAGAACATTTGTACCACAAGCGTTACATAAAAACCGACTTGAACTCTCCTGGAATACGTTCTATTTATTAATCATTTGTATTAAAGCAGTGCCTACTCCCATTCATGGGTGCTTTATAGATAAGTAAACAAATCAGCAGTTCCTGCCTCTGACCTGGTCTACACTCTAGATGAAGGTCAACCTAAGATACGCAACTCCAGCTGTGTTAATTGAGTAGCTGGAGTCAACATATCTTAAATTGCGGTCCACACAGTGGGAGGATGATGGGAGCAAACACTCACATCAGCTTCCCTTACTCCTTGCAAGGAGCAGGAGAACTGACACCAATGGAGGAGCCCTATGAGTTTGATTTAATGACTCTTCAGTAGACCCACTAAATCGAACCCCAGAAGATGGACTGTGGCAGTATAAATGTACCCTCTGAGAGCTCACATTCTAGGCTACTTAAAATTATTTTTGTTGAGAGGAAATCAGAATATATTTAATTTTTTTATGTATGTGTGTTTGTAAGTCCTTTTGATAGTTGTAGGAATATAGTTAATTACAAAGAAGAGAATCAGGAACTAAGACTCTTTGTTTCTTAAAGGCCCAGCTGTTCTTGTTGTTTATTCTCCAACTTATGTCACAATCTTCCTGTCTGTGAAACAAAAAATTTGGTCCATGCTTACCTTTAATCGTGTGCACAATTGGTTACAGGCTGGGAGCCTTAGTTGCTGTGGAGATTATGATCTCCATAGTAAATCATTATGTGTGGTGTTTTACACACTATGTACTGAGTGCACACTATCGCAAAGGAGTCAGGGAAACTAATCAAAGCACCTGGATAAAGAGGTAACAAAACAAAAACAGTATAATCATACAAGTAATTTAGCCGAATTAAAAAGAAACTGGTGTTTCCATTTATGTACCAATATAATATGTTTCAGACTTTTTATTGATGCTCAAAGCCTTTTGTTAATAAAAATGGGGGAATCCAATTAAAGTCCAAAATAGTGTATCATGTAGCCATAAACATTACAGTAATGCAGTTTTGTGCAAAGAAAATATGTAAAACCATATCAAGCACATTAACAACACTCATGGGCAGCTTCATAAAAAGATTTTAAAGAGTTTCTTTATCACCCTACACTTCCAAAGTGACAACAAAACATTCCACCCTATAATTAGATTCCAATTTTGGGTTGGTTTTATTATCAGTCAGTTTATCTGCACCAGTTCAGAGTTCTGACTAAGTTTGACAGGTTCAATTAATTTATTAATAATAGTTGTATTTATGTAGTGTACCCAGGGCACAACACAGCAATAAATACAGTAAAAACATAACATTAACTAAAGAAAACAGTATAAGAAAACCCCATTCTATAAGCAAAAATGGGCCAGAAGAAAAAGATGCAGTCCATGTGAAAGGACCAACAATAGTAATATTAAAGAACGCTTTTGAAAAAAACCCAGCCATTTCTTAAATGCTGGGAGATATGGGTTGAAATGCAGGATATAGAAGAACGAGAGCTAATTTCCAGCACAAGTGGTGGAAACAGTAAAAACAAGAACTCTAGAAACAAAGATAGCATCAGGACAAGTTTATTAACAAGATAGCATCCTACAGCTCATTAAACACTCTGTGCACAATCTCAAAAAGCACTTGTAAACCTCTTCAGCTTCAAATAACTAAACAGAACCTCCAACTTCTGTGGGAGTATTTCTAGGCTTAAATTTTTGCACATCCATGGGGCTTTGCTGTATCAGCCTCAGAACCCATTGCAAAGAGGTAGATCCAGATTCAGATCTTGGTACTTTTTAAAATTGAAGTCATTCATTCAATTAACTGCCCGCTATTCATGACAAGGAGTCCTGTGGCACCTTATAGACTAACAGATGTATTGGAGCATAAGCTTTTGTGGGCAAAGACCCACTTTGTCAGATGCATGTTGACGAAGTGGGTCTTTGCCCACGAAAGCTTATGCTCCAATACATCTGTTAGTCTGTAAGGTGCCACAGGACTCCTTGTCACTTTTGCAGATCCAGACTAACACGGCTACCCCTCTGATACTTGCCTGCTATTTAGCGTATGGTGTGCAAAATTGCGAAAGCAGTGCTGGTCTCACATTAACTGAAATGCCTCAAATATCAGCTGATTACTTATTGATGCTAATGAGGCCAAAAGATACGTTATTTTTAAGCAGCTGTAAATGTTCCCACAAACCTGTCTGGATTTTCTTTGGATGAATCTTGTAGAATTGAAAATTATACCTCTGCTATGGAATTATATGGGATGTTTCACAAACCTCCAATAAACGTATGGGTGAAAGCTTGGCCTCACTGAAGTCAATGGGAGCTTTGCCATGGACTGCAGGGAGGCCAGGATTTCAGGCTTTATATTTTAGAGCTGAATAATTTCTACAGATTCCTATTCAGGCCAACAAAACTGTTCCAGAGGGATTAATTCGCAAGTGTATTACATTTAATTTAAATACAGAACAGGGTGTATTTAGGGCACTTTCAAAGTTAATGAAATTGTTTATCATCCTGATTTCATTTGGAATCACTTTTGATGTAATTGTCTATGTTGCAGATAAAAGATATGCTGAAGAACAATTATAATCTTTCTCTCAAACAACATGCACTTAGATAGGACTTGATCCTCTTCTGCTGAAGTCATTTCAAGTTTTTGCTATTAACTTCAACAGGACAGGATCATGCCCACTGCCACTGGTTTCAAAAAGCAGTCCTAAAGAGTACAAGTGTTATACAAGTACATATTTTTAATTTCATCAGCATGTACAGTAGCTAGATACATGTTGGACCTCCCTCGTCCGGCACCCTCAGGAACTGACCTGCCCCAAACAAGGGGATTTGCTGGACCAGGGGAGGTCCCAGTGGCAGAGGAGGTGGCAGACACTGCAGGCCCCTGAGCTCAGCAGTTGGGGCCAGACCTTCGCGTCTGCTGCTGCCGGCCCCTTGCTACTGTCCAGCCGCAGGGTCCAGAACTCCCTGCTGCTTCTTCATGCCTCCCTCACTCAACACAGGGCTCCCAGATGAGTTCTAGGCCCCTCTGCCGCTCTTACCCCACAGCCCGAACTCCCTATACCTGGGCTCTGTGATCCAGGAACATCTGTGGTCTTGCTGGACCACAGATGTTGCCAGACCAGAGAGTCCTGGCTAAGTGAGGTACAACCTGCAGTAAGCTCTAGGAAACAGGATCCTGTCTTTCATGTTTGCATACTGCAAAAATTGTGGGTGAAACCTTGGCCTCATTCCAGTCAAAGGCAAAATTCCCACTGTCTTCGATGGGATTCACTAAATAATATAAATACAGACAGTACCTTTTCTGTGGATTTGCGGTTGAATTTTAGAAGAACTAACATATTTTAAGAAACTAACACATACGGATGTCGCCATAAATTGTTTCATTTCTGTGACAGAAACATAATTTCTTTTCTATTGCTATTTAGGTTCCAAAATGAACACGTGGCCTTAATTTGCAAAACTGGGAAAAATACTTGGGATCGGTATGCTATTTCAAAACCACACAAGGCATGATAGATGGCTCAAATACAGAGCTCTTCTGTGCTTCACAAGCTTTTGTTCTGCCAGGGCCACAGCCAGGATTTACAGAGCCTTGGTCAAAATACAAAAGCAAGGACTCACAATTTATGATCCCAACACCTACCATATGGGCCAGGCCACACATCCCTCCCCCTCACTTGGAAGGGTCCTTATGGACTTCACCTCTACCATTTTCCTTTGTCTCTGGTGTTCTTAGATACCTTAGCAAAATTCCAGCATACTTCAGTGGCATGCTGGATTTGGGGCCACTCTTGCATCAAACCTAGACCTGGGACCAAGCACCAGCCTGGCAGTGGCCCTGATTTCTTCTTTCTAACATGCCTGTGCTAACCTGGATGAGATATAGGAATAATGTTGTTAAGAATGCTTAATAACGTTTTCCCTGCAGGATAAGTTATACTCCTGTTATCTGGAACTCACAACCATTCAGCAAGGAATAACTACCTGTACTTTTTTCTGTGGCATCACTGGTTGAGAGCTGGGCAAACTGTAAAAAATGTTCCATGAATATTTGAGACTGATAATGAATTCATTTTGGCCATGCCTGCATCATACAGTGCCAGATTTATGCACAAACTAAGTAAGCTACAGTTTAGGGCCTCAGATTATGAGGGGCCTCTAAATACAAAAAATAGATAGTTTTTAGTTGCATCCTCAGTATATATGCAAATAAACTTTCAGGCTGTCTCTAGACTTGCCAGTTTTTCCGGAAAATCAGCCGTTTTTCCGGAAAAACTTGCCAGCTGTCTACACTGGCCGCTTGAATTTCCGCAAAAGCACTGACTTCCTACTGTAAGTAATCAGTGCTTCTTGCGGAAATACTATTCTGCTCCCGTTCAGGCAAAAGTCCCTTTTGTGCAAAGCTTTTGCACAAAAGGGCCAGTGTAGACAGCTCAGATTTGTTTTCCGCAAAAAAGCCCCAATCGCGAAAATGGCGATCGGGGCTTTTTTGCGGAAAAGCGCGTCTAGATCGGCAGGGATGCTTTTCCACAAAAAGTGCTTTTGCGGAAAAGCGTCCGTGCCAATTTAGACGCTCTGTTCCGAAAATGCTTTTAACGGAAAACTTTTCCGTTAAAAGCATTTCTGGAAAATCATGCCAATCTAGACGCAGCCTCATTGTTCTTTCTGCTAGGATAACACACATTTTTAGTAATGCTTTGGGGCCTCTTAAACTTGACATATCTTAGGGTCTCAGCATATCTTAATCCAACCCAGGCACCATGCATATGTGTGTGCTCACTTACTGCAACTATATGAACAGTACAGTTTCATTAGCACATACTGTGGCAGAAACCAAATCTTAAAATTTATATATCTCGGTATTCAGTCAGATACACTCAGCCAATCAGGGAACAGAAACAATGTTGGTCTTAGCTGAGCAATTACAAGTTAGAAGAATGCTCATGTCTTGAACATTGAGTATCAAATTCCTGCAGCAAAGTGTTAAAAAAAATCAAGGGGAAATGAGAGAATAAATTGAAGGAATTCATAATGGCTCAGAGACCTTCAAGAAGCACATAAGAAAATGTTACAGTCACCATGGACATTCCCAGTGAATTATTCACTCAGCTCTGCAAACAAACATACCAAGAAGCACGTCTTCTGGGACTTGATAGAAAGCCCTATTGGAGTCAAGGGGAGTCTCTCCATTGACTTAGGTGTTGGCTCAAGCCCGGGTTAAGGAAATCACAGTAAGGAAATTGTTGGATTAAATATTCGAATTTATTCTGAAAGAGCATTTTAATGCAAATTGTATTAATGCTTTATATTAATACAAAAAGCAAAACATTACTAGCTTCAGATACTTCTGCTCAAGCAGGTAAATAGCCCATATGCACCAAAAGATCTGACTTGAATAATTCAACAGAAATGTGTAGCTCTTCTTATGAGAGGATGTCAGATCATTAATGAAATAATAAATAGATCACTATGCTAAGCTCCTGAAGGTGCTTTCCCAGGGTTTACTGTTAAGCAAACAGGAATGTGCCTGATTTTAAAGTCTAGGTATAGCATAGTACAGTTGCAAACAAAGAGAAGCCTATGAAAAATGCTTCACTCTTTCTATAAATAATCTTTTGGCTCACTCAGTACTACAGAATCAAAGCTATTCCAATTGTATTCCCTCATGAAAAATAATCGGCGTCAAACTACCTATGTTAGTACTTCCACTATTGTCTCAAACATACAGTACCTCATATATGGAACAGATGCAAGGGCTGAGGGCCGAAATTTGATCTGATACCAACATAAATCAGTAAACCATTGAATGCAAGAGCTATGCATGCACAGTACCATTAGGGGGATCAGAATCTGGCCAAGAAGACAGCCTGGGAAAACTTTTAAGCCTCCATCAGAATTTAGAACATATGCAAATCCAAGTTGTAAATTAGAACCATAGAACACTGAATTCTTATCACCTCACATATAAGCCTCTTCCATGGGTGATGGTTGAAGCTGTTGCTTGGGAAACCAAATTCCCCAGCCTGTAGCCCCACCTTTGCCCTGCCCATGCCCTGCCCCCTTCCCGCTGTCTTTCTCCTCTTCCCTCCCTCTTGCTGCTCACCTCTTCCAGCCAAATCCCTAAACCCAAATGTAGCAAATGACATTTTTTTAAAAGACATTACATTCTTCTAAAATTTCTTTCTAAAGAAAATGGAGCATGTTTTCCACTGCATGCCAGATTGTGAAGCCTGGACATGCAGAAGGTACCTAATTAAAAACACTACATTTGGGAATAAAAATGTCAGTCACAGTGGCTCTGTCTAGACTGGCATGATTTTGCGGAAATACTTTTAATGGAAAAATTTTTGTGTTAAAAGTTTTTCCACAAAAGTGCGTCTAGATTGACACGGATGCTTTTGCGCAAGAAAGCCTCAATCGCCATTTTAGCCATCGGGGTTTTTTTGCACAAAACAGTTCTTCCCTGTCTATACTGGCCCTCTTGCGCAAATATTCTTGCGCAAGAGGGCTTTTTCTCGAGCAGGAGCGTGAAAATATTTGCGCAAGAAGCACTGATTTTGTACATTACAAAGTCAGTGCTCTTGCACAAATTCAAGCAGCCAGTGTAGACAACTGGCAAGCTTTTGCGCAAAATCTTGCCAATCTAGATGCACCCAGTTTGTTTATTTTTTACATACCCTGAAGTTTGTCAGAGATTTATTTGTAAAACCTTTGTAATAAGGGCAATTCAGCTGCCCTGCTGAATACAACATTAAATATTATGGAATACATGATGCAGCTCTTCTCTGTTTTATATTTTCTTAATTAGTATTTCTAAACTGATTCATATATTAAATATACTGGTAAGCCTTCAGAATGTAATCAATCCTGATTACTACATATTTAATGCACTGAAACAAAGACATTTTAAATTAATCAGTCAGAGCTGTTTAGTGTATTCATAATGTAAATCATTGCTTTTAGAAAAAGAGAGCACTAATATACTGTGTGTGATCTTCATAACAATAGACATGTTTATGAAAATTTACCGTATGTTAATGTTAAAATTGTTTCCAAGGACTTTAGGCATAAGAAAGAATTTTATATCTTAGAATTTTAATTTGGTAGAGGATTCTCTTAAAACTTGTTCATCAAATAGAAGTAAAGAAAGGGAAACTCAATTGTCTGATATCTGAAGAAAAGAAATGTTGTCCCTTTGGCTCTCTTTAACAGGGGGTGAAGTGAGAGCAGGGATGGATAGAAAGAACAGAAAGACTTTGGAAGAGTTTTTGTATTATAGTAATTAATTTTAAAAATGTGTTTTTAGATAAGGATGGTGTTTTGAAGAATTTATTTAAAAAAACGTCTTAAGAGCATTAAGGGTAAACGTGAATACTCAAATTGTGCATCCAAAACTCTACGCAATGATTTTTTAGAGATGTGATTTTATAAACTTCAGCAACAAACTAATGAAATATCTAAAGCAAATTTTAAACTACGATACTGTGGACATAGTGAAACACAACTGTTTTTGCCAGTAAATTCAGAAACTGACAGCATATACCTCCTGGTTGGCACACGCCTGTTAAATGGCTTCATTACCACTTAGTGGCTCTTTCACAGGTTCAATGTTATGCTAATACATCTGGCAAACTGGAAGACTTTTCACTTTTAAGTTAATAGATTCACTGGGAGAGTGGGGAAAAAGTCACCAAGCTCTCACAGCAATAAGCTACTGTGGGAGCTTTCAGGAATGGTCAGAATAAGGATAGGAAGAAGGGAATGGTTGAGCACTAAGACCCAGGGAAAAAATCCCGCCTCCTCCTCCCCGCCTCACTTACCTCTTACACCCACTGCCCATAGCTAGGCCCAATTGGGACAAAGGGAGCAACTGTCCCAGGGCCTAGAGCTTTTGGCTATTGTTGGTGCTACTGAAGCAGCAGCAGCAACAACCAGAGCCCCAGGCCTTTTAACTTGCTGCCAGAGAACCGTGGGGCATGCTCCATGCAGCACTAACGTCTGCCTGTGGGCATGGCCCCAACCTTGCCCCTTCTGCCTAAGGCCCCACCCTTTTGAGAGGCCCAGAATAGCCCCTGCTTCTCCCCTTCCCCCCACTTTGCCTAAGGGCATGGAGAAGCTGTCAGTCCTGCTGCCCGTAGCTTCTTCCTAGGATTGTTATGAACTTAATTAGGCTTTATATCTTCATAGACATGTGCACATATCTATAATGAATAATGCTGCCTGAAGCTTCTGCTCCTCTGTATGTGTGTTTCTTTAAAACAGTTCTTAACCAAAAACTCAGATTACATCCTATATTCTTGGCTGTTTCCAAGAAGTACTCTCTTTTCAATGCTTTTGCCTGCAGCTATTGGCTGAATGTCTGTGACAATGACCTGTGTCTTCAGTTGCAGATCTCTTTTGTCATCAGCTTTTATTATGTGTCTGGCTAACGCTTGTCTTCCTGCAACAGTTAGTTATTGGATCATAAATATAATAATTATTGTTTACAGGCTAAAAAATAAACCCCCTCCAAGTGTACCGCAAAGGGATTATGCTTCAGGTAAGGATGACTTAATGGAACTTTAAACTGTATATTTTTTCTAAGAGTGTTACAACTGCATATTTGCTCACATTTATTTTCTAAGGCGGGGTGGGCACAAGGGCCTCTGCAGGATGAATCCAGCCCATAGAGGTCCTGCTGCTCTCCCGCCTCAGGCCAATCAGGGCCTAGGGACAGGGGCGCATGCAACACTTAGGGTATGTCTACACTAGCCCCCCTAGTTCGAACTAGGGAGGCTAATGAGGGTGACCGAAATTGCAAATGAAGCGCGGGATTTAATATTGCAAATGAAGTGTGGGATTTAAATATACCACGAGGAGTAACAGCTAATTCGAGTTAGGGGTTTACTTCATACTCCCGTTTGACTGCCGCGTGTAGACACAGGAAGTTATTCCGGGCTAGTCAGTTTCCAAAATGGTGACCACCCGGGAACATGCTAATGAAGCGCAGGATATTTAAATCCCACATTTCATTTGCAATTTCGGTTGCCCTCATTAGCCTCCCTAGTTCGAACTAGGGGGCTAGTATAGACGTACCCTTAGAGTTAACTCTGGCAGTTGACTCAGCGCTGCGTGCCGGAGGGCAGGGGGTGAGAGACTTTGCTCTCCACCCACCCCTAGGCCTGCATGCAAAGTCTCCTCCCACCCTGAAAGGGACTCTGTACTTAGAGTCAACCGCCAGCTGCTGCTCAGCTGGTGGGTGACTCTAAGTGCCACTCTCCCTTGCAGGGCAGGGACACACTTTGCGTACTCCTCCTACCCCCAGGCTCTGATTGACCTGGGGTAGAAGGGAAGTGTGTGAAATCTCCTCCCACCTCCAGAGGCGCAGAAGCCTAGAAGGAACCACCAGCTGTTCAGAGTCCCCAGCTGATCCTGGGCTTCATGCGGTGCTGCAACTTTGAAACGCCGCAAATTGCATCAACAATTCGATTAGCCAAATAATCAAAATTTTACCTCCCTAAGCTACATTTGCTAATCTTACAACTTTACTGCCTGCTATTTTGTTTTACTTTTATTTTAAAATGTTAAGAATTGTTTTGTGAAGGAGAAAATAAAGTAAAATAGCACCAGCGGAATGACTGGAACTTTTTATTTTTTGGGGAAAGTGAATAAACTAGAATTATTTACCTCTTTCATAACACAAGAACAGGGGAATACCTAATGAAATAAATAGGCAGTAGGCTCAAAACAAACATAAGGAAGTATTTGTTCCCATAGTATGCCTGTGGAACTTGTTGCCAGGTATACAACTAGGCTGTGTCTAGACTGCATCCCTTTTCCGTAAAAAGGATGCAAATTAAACACATCGCAATTGCAAATGAAGTAGGGATTTAAATCCCCCCCGCTTCATTAGCATAAAAATGGCTGCCGGTTTTTTTCCGGCTCGGAGCTTTGCCGGAAAAAAGCGCCAGTCTAGACGCGGCTCTTTCGGAAAATAAAGCCTTTTCCGAAAGATCCCTTATCCCTCTTAAAATAAGGGATAAGGAATCTTTCAGAAAAGGCTTTATTTTCCGAAAGAGCCGCGTCTAGACTGGCGCTTTTTTCCGGCAAAGCTCCGAGCCGGAAAAAAACCGGCAGCCATTTTTATGCTAATGAAGCGGGGGGGATTTAAATCCCTACTTCATTTGCAATTGCGATGTGTTTAATTTGCATCCTTTTTACGGAAAAGGGATGCAGTCTAGACACAGCCTAGTTGTATACCTGGCAACAAGTTCCACAGGCATACTATGGGAATAGGTTAAAAAAAAGAAGTGGATGAGGTAATGGTCATTCTGATAATCGTTCGGTGACGTTGGTAAGTTCTGAGTGGGCAGGCTTTCACAGCCCTAAATCTATCATAGTTAATTGACACCAAACTTGAAACTTCACCAGAAAGGCCAAGAACTGAACTGTCAAGAAATCTGTACTAGCTCTTCTTCTCTCTTCATTTCCTTTGAAAAACTGGCATGGCAGCGTGGGCAAGCTTGTATTGCTACTATTCATACTGGAGATAAGAAAAACACTACATTGTCCAGTGCATCAGGCTGGGACTCTTTTATGTGCACTCTAAATTAATTTCTAAAACCACATTACCAATGCTATTAAGCCAAAACCAAGTGTGGTTTCAGGAAATTGCACTTGTGTGCGTCTGTAATACAATAGTGTTAATCAATCAGTAGTTAAGTTGAATGCTTATGATCACTATTCCATTCCCTTAAATGACTCAAATGTTTGGTTTAGAACATGCAGAGGATGAAGATGAACAATGGTCAGATGATTTTGTAAGTACATTTTCCTGGGGTCACGAAGCAGTTATTTTTTCAATTAAGTCCATCCGTGAGATAATAATGAATGTTTAGTTCTGAATCAGATATTTTCAGTCATATTTACATTTCTGCTATGAAAATCTTAGGCTGTGTCTACACTGGCGTGATCTCACGCAAAAGCAACTGCTTTTGCGCAAAAACTGGCCGCGTATACTTGCGCAAGTAAACTGACGGTCTAATGTATAAAATCAGGGCTTCTTGCACGAGAATGCTGACGCTCCCGCTCAGGAATTAGCCCTCTTGCACAAGAGCTCTTCCAGAAGAGGCCAGTGTAGACAGGCAAAATGAATTTCTTGCGCAAGAAAGCCCTATGGTTAAAATGGCCATCAGAGCTTTCTTGCCCAAGAGAGCATCCACACTGGCATGGATGCTCTTGCGCAAAAGCACATGCCAGTGTAGACGCTCTCTTCTGGAAGGGTTTTTGCAGAATAACTCTTCTGCAAAAGAGTTTTTGATTGAGAACATGCCAGTGTAGATGTAGCCTTATTGTATTACAAGGTTAAACATTTCCAAAAAAACCCTTGATTTAGGTACCTTGATTTTTAAGTATCCATTTAGAGACACTTGGGTCTAATGTCCAGAAGCCTATTAATGGTAGCTGTAGATGATCAACATCTTTGAAATTCAGGATTACGGTGTCTCAATTTGATCACCCAAATGGGCACCCAAAACTAGTGCATACTTTTGAATAAACACTGGCCTTTTCTTAATTAGAAGATTTACAGATACCCTTGGAACCTGACCGTCTCCAAACCAGAGAATTCTCTGGACCAGAGGAGGTCAATATTGTCTAGCAGCATTACTAAAACTTCCACTGCTTACTAGGCTGTTAGAGGACATTTAGGGGTAAATTAGAGTTAAATAACAGCACGGAACACAGAGCTAGAACTGGGTGGCTGTAAACAAATTTTATGGGACCATGGGAAACTTGGCCACACACCTGAAAAGTGGACATCCGGCTAACTAAAATTATTCCGGACCATGGATGTTTCCGTACCAGAGAGTTCTGGACTAGAGAGGTTCAACCTGTATCTTTAGATTGTCAAATTAGTGGTTAGTAACTTATTTTTGGCATCAATTGATAAAACCCATGGTTTATTAGGCATTTTCCAAACACTTGGGGAAAAAACACAGGGTGAAATCCTGCCCCACTAAAGACAATGGGGAAAGTTCCACTGATTTTGATGAGTACAGGATTTCACCCACAGTTCCTGCCCTCAGAGACTATGCAATCTGTATAAATTCACTCTCCCCTGTTGTAAGATTCAGTCATCATTTTCTGACTTTCAGATACATGTAGGCTGTGTCTAGACTGGCATGATTTTGCGGAAATACTTTTAACGGAAAAGTTTTTCTGTTAAAAGTATTTCCGCAAAAACGCGTCTAGAATGGCACGGATGCTTTTGCACAAAAGCATTCGTGGCCAGTCTAGACGCGATTTTGCGCAAGAAAGCCCTGATTGCCATTTTAGCCATCGGGGCTTTTTTGCTCAAATCAGTTCTTCCCTGTCTACACTGGCCCTCTTGAGCAAGTATTCTTGCGCAAGAGGGCTTTTTCCCGAGCAGGAGCATGAAAGTATTTGTGCAAGAAGCACTGATTTTGTACATTACAAAGTCAGTGTTCTTGCACAAATTCAAGTGGCCAGTGTAGACAGCTGGCACGTTTTTGCGCAAAAGCAGGTGTTTTTGCACAAATCTTTCCAGTCTAGACGCACCCGTAATGTTTATCCATTTTTGTTTATTCCATGCTACTTGAGATGGATTCTTTACATTACACGACATCCCAGTTATGAACATCCCTAAAATGGCCTAAATTTGAGGAAAATTCAGATCCAAACTTTGTAGCTCAGTTCAATCTCTATTTTTGTTTATGTTTGAGATGACCAGATTGTCATTGCATAAAGAGTTTGAAAATTATTCATTAACCCTTAGAAAACTAGCTAATTCCCAGATAGATGTCATCCTAAGAATGGTGATTTTCTTGGGCTTTTGAGATGAGGCCCCATCAGGTAAGATAGAGGGTGGTAAGATCTCAGAGGTATGGAGTGAAGTAAAACATGACCCAGCCTGCTGCAGGACAAAGAACACTCCTTATTTTACAACCTGTTTCTCTAAAGCAACCTGTTTCTAGTCCCCGACCTCTCCCTGAAGACCAGAAACAAGGAAGGGCAGACAGAGGTCACATCAGCATCTGAGACTAAGAGGAACTGGCTTCCAGGAAAGCGGGCTGGTAGATAAGCATATGGTTGTTGAATCACTGATTGAGGGTGTGCAGTCCCAATTTAGCAGAGGGCCTATGGAGATGGGCGAGAGAAAGCAGAAATAGGAAGTGAGAGCTCTGTGGTGTTCCAGTGGTAAGGAGTGGAATGCTGAGGGGTACTGAAAATCTGGGTGCGTGAACTTGAAGTGTTAAATCCTTTTTTTCATGAGCAAAAATATTTTAAATACATATTATGATGCAATATAGTAATACTAATGAAGTTGACTGTGTTCATAACCATCATATGACAAGGAAGTGTTTTTGTAGGTTAGCAAACAATTCAAGTGGTGGGATGTTTGAGAGTTACTTCCACAAATGAAGCCACAAGTGTTTTACAAAGTAAGAAATGGGAAGCTGTGTGTTTCTAGGACAGCGATTATGAAAATCCAGATGCCCACTCTGATTCAGAGATGTATGTGGTCCCCAGTGAAGAGAACTGTGATGACAGTTATGAGCCCCCTCCGACTGAGCATGAGAAAAAGAAGATTCCCTCCTCGTTCACATTTTCAAGAGGAGACTATGCAGGTACCTATGAAATCTTTGGTTAATCCAGCCTATCAATCCCTCAACTATTGTGACCAGTGGCATGACCATTCATGAAAAACAAGAAAAATTTTCAAATGGTCTCGATGTCGTGTAAAGTCCATCTTAAGGGTGCCTAATTTCTGGGGGATTTATGAATTTGAGACCCCATCTCCCTCAGTATTACCATTTTCTGCCATGTTTTTAATTAGTCTACTTTGTACCTGGCCAACAAGCTTTGTGATGAACATTCAAACCAAGTCATGAAACAGAATACATAGCATTTGGGGGAAGAAATTTCACTGAGCATGCCCCAGGAATTACCCAGTTAGCCTGTGGGTTGGTTCTTCCCTAACCGATTTAAGGTCAAGCAGGAAGGACACACTATTTTTTGATCTTGTTTATACCCTAACTTGTTAGCCAAGCAAGTGTAAAACAGGGGCTGTAATAGTCCCAAAGATTTAAGCCCATAGTTGCCCTTAACAATTGGGCATACAAAGTAGATAACCTGAAAAACAGGACTGGAAGGAGATGAGTCTGCTTAGATCATTTCAACAGACTCTTCTATTCCCTTCAACATTATATTCTGTTTGCGCCAAATACTGTTGTCATGGAAGTCAGTGGAGGTTTAGATATTAACATCAGGTAGACCAAGGTTTGGGCCATTGGGAAAAAGTATATCAACATAACCATCCCCCATCACACTCCTCCTCCCCCATTTCTTTCAGTTTCATTATCTGAGGCTCAGATAATAAGAACATAAGAACATAAGAACGGCCGTACTGGGTCAGACCAAAGGCCCATCTAGCCCAGTATCCTGTCTACCGACAGTGGCCAGCACCAGGTCCCCCAGAGGGGGTGGACCGAAGACAATGATCAAGCGATTTGTCTCCTGCCATCCCTCTCCAGCCTCTGACAAACAGAGGCCAAGGACACCATTTTATCCCCTGGCTAATAGCCTTTTATGGACCTTATCTCCATGAATTTATCCAGCTTCTCTTTAAACTCTATTATAGTCCTAGCCTTCACCGCCTCCTCTGGCAAGGAGTTCCACAGGTTGACAACACGCTGTGTGAAGAAGAACTTCCTTTTATTAGTTTTAAACCTGCTACCCATTAATTTCATTTGGTGTCCTCTAGTTCTTCTATTATGGGAACTAATAAATAACTTTTCTTTATCAGCCCTCTCCACACCACTCATGATTTTATAGACCTCTATCATATCCCCCCTCAGTCTCCTCTTTTCTAAACTGAAAAGTCCCAGTCTCTTTAGCCTCTCCTCATATGGGACCCGTTCATTTTAGTTGCCCTTTTCTGAACCCTTTCCAAGGCCAAAATATCTTTTTTGAGGTGAGGAGACCACATCTGTACACAGTATTCACAGTATAATGGACGAGGACAAGGCACTCAGCTACTATACTGCCAGACAGGTAGCTGAATAGCTGATAAACACATTGTTTGCACTCTCTGAATAACAAGGGATTATATTACTCCTTCTAGGTATCTAGGTGGTACCCCAGAGAAGCTGTTCATATCTCACCCACCTTTCTGCATGGGAACTTATGTGCTACAGTCCTTAAGTATTGTAGCATATAATAATGTTCTGTGACTGAAAGTGACAGGAACCTGTATCACCAGAGTAAAGATGCTCAGTTTGCATAGGTATTAAAGCAACTGTTCACAGTAATTATGTACTAAATTTGTTATTTTCCTCCCCCATTTAAAGACAATCGCACTACCCACCCAGAGCCACTCCCAAGCAGGCCAAGTCAGTCTTTGGTTAAACCCCAGAAGCCATCTAAACCATCTTTGCCATCGTCATCTGCCACTCTGAAACCAAAAACGCCACTTAAGACCAAAGCGTTCAATGCGGATGAGGTAAGGTTCACAGATACACAAGTCTTTACAGTAAAGATGAATTATTGCTCTATAAATATCATTAATTTTATGCAGCACCTGTTTAATATGCTAGCCTTTCATATTTGACTGCTGTGATTCAAATCATTAACTTGGCCATAAAAATAAATGCATAGTCTCTCACTAATTTTTAGTGGACATTTATTCACATCATAAAGGAGCCGTTCAGCCCACTTATCATTCTCCATTCATCAGAACCAGTCAGCAGACAGGTGAGGAAGGAACAGAAATGTTGAGCATCAGAGCAGGGCTACAGAATAGAGACAGTAGGTGATGGATCACTATGCCTCAGTTGGAGCTGTTTGGGGAAGGGGAAAAGTCCCTGAGAAAGCCCAACCTTATCCAGTCCCAGAGGGAGATTATAGATGCCAGAAACAAGCATTGGCATTAGTGCATCTTATCCATCCCTAGCAAGAAAGGCTTGTGCCATGAGACGTGTTTGACATAATGCATGCTTAGCTTGTAGTTTTTCCTCTGCGTTTTTCTCAGGATGATTATATTGTGCCTGTGGATGATGACGATAACTACATTGAACCTACAGAAGGCAGTTCTTCTCAACGTACAAAACGTGAGTTTCACCTTTTAAGCACATAATAATTATACACTAAGCTAAACAAAATACCACTGGATGTCTGTTCTAGGGTTCACAGTAGGTCTGTTCAGCAATTTAAAAAATGATTCATTGCACTGTTAAAAAAATAATAGAATACCCTTTTTTTAAAAATGTTTTTGGATGTTTTCCACATTTTCAAATTATTTCAGTTACAACAGTGCTCGCTTTATAATTTTATTACAAATATTCGCACTGCAAAAAAAAAATAGTATTTTTCAATTCTCCCATTACGAGTACTGACATGTAATCTCTTAATCATGAACACTGAACTTTCAAATGTAGAATTATGAATAAAAAATAACTGCATTCAAAAATAAAACAATGTAAAACATAAGAGCCTACAAGTCCACTCAGTCCCACATTGCATTGTAAGAACCACAGGCAGCATTATTTCCCATACATGTAAACAAACTTGTTTGAATGCAGTTATGTAACAAAAAAGAGTAAAGATTTGTAAGTTGCACTTTCATGGTAAAGAGACTGCCATGTGTATGAGGTGAATTGGAAAATACTATTTCTTTTATCATTTTTACAGTGCAAATATTTGTAATTAAAATTAATATAAAACAGCACTGTACACTTTTGTATTCTGTGTTGTAACTGAAATCAATATATTTGAAAATGTAGAGAAACATCCAAACATATTTAATTCATTTAAATTGGTATTCTATTGTTTAACAGGGTGATTAAAACTATCATTGATCATAATTAAAGTTTTAATAATTAATGTTGAGGTAATCACATGAGTTAGTTGTGCTTAATTAACAGCCTTCATTCATAGAGAAGAGGGGCAGTTCTAAAGCAACTTCAGTCAAGTGAGGGGCAGTATAGGTCCCCTAATTACTATAGTCCAAGGGCAAATTTTAGGGTTGTCTTTCCCAACTGCCACATTTGGCTCCTATTTTTCTCTCCATGACCTTTCACAGTCCTGCACCCTACAATGGAGAATCTTGACTTGGTTTGGCACGCTTTTCTTCTCATCCAAGAAGCTGCTTCATTACAATTCTCCACACTTCGGGGTGTTCAGGCAGATTTTTAACAAACAGAGATATGGGGATTCATTTTTTAACCTTTGTTGCACCAGCTCTTTCACATGGCTGGCAAATTTGGGTATTTATGGCACGGGGGAAGCACTGAGAATAATCACATGAGTCAGAGATTCTTTTTCTGCCACAAATGAATTTTTCAAGGTTTCTTGACTAGCTCTCAGACTTTTGTCCTTGTTCTCATTTCATAAACATAACATTGGTATGTTTGTCTCTTTTTTTGTTTTAAGCTCCTGTAAACAGATCTGTCAAGCCAACAAAGCCAGTTCTTCCTAGCTCTGCCAGGACTGCTCCTGTACCTGTGTCTGCTTCTGTGCTAGGTATGCGGAGTTTATATTGGTGTAAAAGGATCACCCTGCAGACACCCTGTTTTGAGAATGAGGTTTGGAAATGCAATAGTATGGTTTCTGGATTGAAAAAAGCCTTAATATGTTACACATAAGTAGGGATGGCTGAACCAACTCAGACCTTGGCTTTTCCCTGGAAACAGCCAACCAGGCAATTGGTATGGGGAAGGTGGGTAATCTTGCTTCCTATCTATAAAAGTAGGAAATCTGAAAACCTGCTACTCCCCCCAGTGGCAGGCATTTTTCAGAATGTTGCCCGTGCATTGCATAAATCTTCATGCCTCACTTTGATTTTCAGGGAACAGACAGTAGCACTGTGCCCTGTTGTACCGCCTGCTCAGCTGGAATGAGACCCAGTAATCCTTCTTAACTGGGTGTTCCCACTGATCTTGTTGTTTGGCAATTTAAAAGTAAATACTGGAACATTCAAGATCCTTCTCTGCATTCCCACAAGCATCATCCATGCTTAGAGTTTTGGTGCATAAACTCCAGAGTGGTTTTGTGGTTGGTCTTTTTGTTTGTTTTTAAGTTTAAAAGCAAGGCAATCAAATGATACCAACATAGGATTTGCTGGGTTGTGTTGCTCCACAGCTGCTGAAGAGATTGCCCAGTAACCCACTAGATGGTGAGTTAGCACAAGACTTGATCAGGAGGGCAGTTCAGAATAGAACTTGATGATGAAAAGAAAGGAGATCTATCACAAAGGGGTAATAAGCACAGCCTCTTCTGACAGCAAGGTAATTATATAGTGAAGAGAGAGAACTTCAGGTTACTTGTATAAACATACATACAATCTCCCCTGTTGACTCTCTCTCTCCACACTGAACCTGATGATTCTGACTTAAACCCCTTGTGACTGTCTCAGTGCTACAAACAAAAGTACTATTCTATACTCTTTTTTTTCTGTATTCTTCAAGTCCAGTTAAAAACCTATCATTCCCCCTGAGCAATTTGTGTATTTTCTTTCAGAATTCCATATGCTCATCTCTTCTATTGCAAGCTATCATTCCCCCAGAGCAATTTACTGTGTATTTTCTTTCAGAGTTCCATATGCTCATCTCTTCTATTGCAAGATATTATGATATACCTGATGTGTTCAAAACATAAACCGATGACACATCCTTGTAAAATAAAAGCAAGTTCCCCTTCAGGTATTTCTGGTTTATAACAACCATTTTGCCAGTCGGCACTATAATAGATTCCTGCACTATAAATCTCGTTTAAGATTTAATAATAAAACTGGAATAAGCTACTTCTCTTGAATTCATTTCTGCTGTTTACTAAAGCAAAATAATAAAAGTCAGCCTCCAAAGGATCAATTTGAGCTAATCCCCCCCCACACACACACACACCATGTTTCACTTAAAGAAACAGAACTAGCAGAAGCTTATTTGGGGGATAAAGCAATATGCAACATGTACTGTGAATGCAGAATTCATTTACTGTCCATAGCTACTATAATTATCTACCACACACACAGTTCTCCCTGTGGGTTATAATTACCAGTGTCAGTTGCTCATGGTAGTTCACTGACCAGATGATCTAGACATGTGGAGGACGGTCTAGACGTGGGTTGTGTCAATGCACACCAATGCTCCTGGAAGATGCTCATAGAACCAAAAGACCCTATTCTAGAGTTTTGCATCCATCTTTTTATATGCTTTAGTCCAGTGGTTTTCAAAGTTGAGTAATAGGCCCACCTGGGTAAGCCATTGGCAGGACCACTACATGGCTATTTTGAAATAAGCTATTCTGGAATAGCTATTCCGAAATAGCTTATTTCAAAATAGCACGTCTATACTCCAGGGAAGCCTCAAAATTAGTCTGAGGCAGGTTTCTCTAATGCAGATATGCTATCTCGATTTAGAGCCCCAGGAGGCACGGTGGAGGAGTAACTTAGAATGGCCCTGCTGAGGGGCTATTTCGAAATAGCAGCAGAGTTGCATCTGTACATGCCTTATTTCGAAATAGTTAATTCAGAATAGGCGTTATTCCTCGGAGAATGAGATTTACAGATTTCGGAATAAACTGTCTGCTATTTCAAAATTATTTCAAAATAACAGAATGGCTATGTAGATGCTAACATTGTTATCTCAAAATAACGGTGCAATGTAGACATACCCTAAGTGTCCATAGCCATTGAGCCTCTCAGCTCCCACTGGCCACAGTTGTTGTTTCCAGTCAAGAGGAGCTGCGAGAAGTGTTCTGGCCACTCTGTGGCTTTGGACATTTAGATAAACAAAGCATCACGAGGCTGCTAGTGGCTTACCTGGAAGGATCTGCGACCCAACTTGAAAACCTCTGCTTTAGTCCAGCGGTTCCCAACTGCCAGTCTGGTCCATGAACCACTGACTGCCAGAGCTGAAGCTGGCTGTTTGTAGCAGCTCAGCTCCAGCAGCCATGGCAGCTGAAGGAGGTGGAGTAGGAGATGCTTCCCTCTCTCCTCCCACCAGATAAGATGGCAGCCTAACAAGAGCGCTGCTCTCCTCCCCCCTGCCTCTACCCATGGGGGCGTGAGACGTGCTTGAGGAGGGAAGGGGCGTGAAGGAGGAGTGAGGGAGCATGCACGCTGTCAACTGCCACTCCCACTGCCCACCCGGCACTAATGGCCACACTCTCTAAAGCAGCCAGCCCCACTCAGGGAAGTGCAGGGGTGGGGTGGAGTCAAAGGGGTGTTGAGTGAGGGCATAGTGGGTTCATGGGGCAAGTTGGTGTTGGCATGATCTGTAGGGGTCAGAGGTCAAAGAGTATGGGGTGTGGGGGTGGGGATCAAAGGGTATTAGGCACTTGGAAGCCAGGGGCCGGGTTGGGGCTAGGCGGACAGGTAACATTTTATTTGACTATTCATTATGCAAATAATAAATTAACATGCAAATAAATTAACAGTCCACCAAAAGTTTGTGAATGGGTTTGTTGGTCCGCAGAATAACAAAGTTTGGGAACCACTGCTTTAGTCCATAGATCTTGTCCTGTCCCACTGCCCCAGGGCACTGTATGACCATGAGTCATCAGTTAATGACAGATGCGACTTGGATCTTTTTCTTGATAGGACATTTGTCTGTCTCTTTCTTGGATGGATTCTTTTGCAGGGCTTGCTGCATTGTTCTTCAGCCATTAAGGCGGTGCTAGCCGCTGGTCACTTAGGCTATGTCTAGACTACAGAATTTTGTCAGAAACAGTCGTTTTTCTGACAAAACTTGAGTTATGTCCATACTGCAAGTGTGTTCTTTCAACAGTAAATCAAAAGAACAGAGGGAATTGGTAATCCTCATTCTACGAGGAAGAAGCCTTTTGCGAAAGAGCTTTTTCGCAAAAAGGAGTGTGTGGATGAGGAAGAGGGAGTTTTTTCAGAAGAAGAGGGAAGAGGAAAAAGCACAGGTGCCCTGGTGGCCATTCTGTCCATAGCAATCACTGCTTACATGCAAGATAGCGTCCAGGAAGTCTGGACGCTATCTTGCACTTTTGCAGTGTGGACGCTCTCTTTCACAAGAAGCTTTTTCGGAAGATCTCTTCCAAAAAAAAGTCGTCTTGCACAAGAAGCCTGTAGTCTAAACGTAGCCTGGCACAGGCTGGCTTCTTGGACTGAGCCCATTACACACACTTTTATAGGTTACACACACACACCTAGCTATAAACAGCATTAAGGCAGTACAAAGTTTAAAATGGGCTATCAGTTACAACATAGAGCCACTTTGACCTATGTGATTCTATGTGTGATTCTATGTAACTGTGTGAGATCATCACTTTGACCTATGTGATTCTATGTAACTGTGTGAGATCACTGTATAGTGAGTTACAATAACAGATTCTTCAAAGGCAATTCTTAATGGGTTACAAACAAATTAATTCAAAAGTAGTTAACACTTTCATTTATAAGATCCCATTCACAAAAATTGGGCTGCAATTCATGAGGTTACATAATGACACATTGAAATTGCCCTTTTAATAAATATCTACCATTCTTCAGCCCTGCAACAGGAACTTTTACCAATTATCTCATTTCCACATAGGTTACCATGATGTGCTTTTCAACCTTACCGGATTATGTAGAGTCTGATAACTTTGTATTTACTGCTGCTGTCATGTACTGTAAGAAAGCTTATTTGGAAAGAGAAAATGAAGGCAAAAGCAAATAAAAGGATGGGATCATATTTTCCTCTCTGTAATTGCAAGCATATGTATTTAATCCTCTTTAGCTGAGTAGTGCAATTCTATGTTGTATTGTTTCCTAGCCAAAGCATTCGTTGACCAGAAAGTAACCTTTACAAACTAGTTACACAATTCTTACCAAGTATTATGCATCATTTTCATTAGTAATTTATTTAAGTTCCAAGCCATAGTTACTAACTTTCTCAGTAATTTGCAGTTTCATCACGTAACTTTTCAGACATTTTAAAACATATTTCCAGTGTTGTGATTGTTAATCACTGTTTCTAAGCAACAATTCTCTTGATGTATTTTAAACAGATGAAACAGCTCCCTCTAGTGGACATTAGGCACTTGCAAGATTACAGTTAAAAAGCTAAAATATAATGACCTAGCTTCACTACAATCAATGAATATAGATTTAGATTAAGGCATTAATTATTTTAATGTTTGCTTTTTCAATATTCATGACTTACAATCTGGGATTTTTGTGAGGAAGTAAAAATCCTATAATAGCAAGCAGGAGCTCAGGGATAATAGTGTCGTGATACAAAGCATTAAAACCAGTGGATTCTCACTGAAAATTCAGGGTTTATGATTCGTTATGTCCTTTTTTCACCAAGGTAAAAGGAAGGTTTAAAAGGTCATCCAAATGTGATGACCTAATGGAACAAAAAATAATTAGGTTATTTGAGTGCAATGCAATTCCTGTAATTGTTGACTGTGAATTTGGATTCGTGCCCTTTTCATCATAAGTTTACAGTTAAAAAGAACCCAAGTGTGATTACTTGAAAGACACAGTGTATTATGAATAAGAGAAGAATCAATCCCCAAGCATAGGGTGTAAGGGGGGGTGAGGGGGCTGCTCTAGTCTCTGCCTTTTTGCACGGGTCCTGGCTGCTGGCCCTGTGTCCAGGGCTTCACTGCCAGCCCAGTGCCCCCCAATCCTCACCCCCCCGCTGTGGCCTATTCCTTCCTCTTATCCAGGTCCCCCCATCCCATAAACATGGCCCTATCTTTGGTGGAGGGGAAGGTGGGCGGGGTGAGCAGGATGGATTTTACCACTCCCACTAGTAAAAATGTTCCAGCGCCACTGTCCCTAGTGAGAACAGTCATATCTCCTAAAGTTACCTTTTCCCCCAGAAGAATCTTATTTTCGTTATAAAAGCAGAATTTTGATGTAATTCTGCTATTTTGTCAAGAGACCTGTGATCCCTTTTTGTAACTACAGAATATTCTTTTTTCCTTCAGACGTCTATGAAGTTCCAGAGGAAGAGGTAAGTTCTTATGCACATTTTATGGGTCATCAGGGAAACCAACAGACTTGCCTGGCCTCTGGGCAAGGTGAGGCAGGAGGCAGATCTACACTCATGTGGAATGGGCAGGACTGGGAGCAGCCAGCCCTCAATGCCACCCAAAGCACAGCTGCGCTGGCCTAACACCCTCCAGTTGACCCAGAGAGCCAACATGTGAACATTGTATAAAAGCTATCGATTTAATACCTGTGTATCTCAGTACAGAACGTGCTGTGCTGCCCTCCAGTGAAAATTTAATGGGCCCGAGGCTCCAGCAGTTGAAGCTCCTGCAGTAGTGGCAACAGTAGACAGGAGCCTTGGGCCCTTCTGAATCACCTGGCCCCGGGCAACTGTCCCATTTCCCCCCCCTTACTATCAGCAGCTCTGTGGAACATAGCTCCTGCAGTTTACACATAAAGAATCTGATGAGAAAATGCATGCTGCAGCTTGAAAGCACTGCCTCCTATGGTGCAAATAGTTCAGAATAAATGCAAGAGAAAGCCATTGTATCAATTCTTTAATATATAGAAAATTGGAACAAACCTTGCCACTGAGAATGGTATCTCATGTCCCAATAATTTCATAACTCATCACCAAATGACAGTGAACACTTGGTCTGGTGCTTACTACAAGTTGTCAGGTGGAATGAGGCTTCTGGCTCTGCTTAATGTGATCCAGCCTTAGAAGCATAGGCCTAAGGGAACATTTTCTGGAAGTGATGCCCCAGGAAAGGAAACATGGTCTGTTTTGACATGATAATTTCCTTCCCACCTCTCAATACTTGACATAGAAGGGGTCAGTTTCTGGCTACTCCATCTTCATGCATATTCCCAACAGGCATTGTTTTGCTAGAGATACATGGGAAAATAAATAGAATATCACAAAGACAATTTAATATCTTATGATTGCACAAATGCATTTTAATAAATACAGATATGACCAAGTTATTAACAATGCATTCTCTTTTAAAGGAAAAACCATCACCACCAACAAGCAGGTAATTCATTACTATGAAGTTCTGTACATTATTAAAAGCTTTAGATCTTGTGAAGAAATATACTTTGCTAGCATGTGAACATTGTCTAAGAGCTATCTATTTAATACCTATGTATCTCAGTAGAAGAGGTATTGAATTAATAAAATACTACAATATTTCTTGATGTACTTTGAGAAAGAGAACATATAGTACATACATTCAGAAATACATTAAGTGTTGACTAGGATTACAGGGACTTTTGCCTTTTTAATTCAGTATTTTTTGTATAATGTTTCTAACTTCACTTGTGTTGTCTTACTAGGATCACTAAACTACTTCCTCCCAAACCTGCTCAGAATACAGGAAGACAGTCTCACATACAGAGCACAGCCAAAGAATCTCCTAAACCAGACACTTCCAGGTTAGTCAAAAGCAGCTTCTGTCCCTCCAACCATTGAGCAAACACTGGAGGAAGCAGATTCTTCACCTCACCTCACCATGCCTAGATGTTGCACGGCCTTCAGACAATAAATGATTGCTAGGCCATGTGTACAAACCACCTAGGCATGAGGGGGTGAGTTAAAATGAAACTTCTCAAATAACTCTCAGTATCCCTCCTTTAGTGGGTTTGACAGAGGCGTAATACTTCTTCAATGTATTTGTTTCTGTTTAATGTGACATGAATCAGATGGAAGCAGCTGATCCCTAACATCACAAATGATTGGAGGGGTGGATGAGGCTAGGATGCTTATCTAAGCCTCACACATCCATTTTGAAAATAATTATTAGCGCAAGATAGAGGGGCAGCCCAATCCTCCTCTTTACCAAGGGATGAAGGTCCAGAACAGTGGTAATACCAATGAATTCTACCCACTGGAGTAGGAGCACAATTCTGGGAACCACTCATGGAACTAAGAACCCCCTGCATGCCTCAGCAAACATGGAGTTTTTGGATTGGAGTCTGATTCAGGGCCAGTGGACACACGACTACATAAATTTCACCACTCCTAGATCAGGCTCATAAGAACAAAGCCAGGTCTTGCCCGGGGCAATGCATGAAGGACATGAGAGGTTGTATGTCCTCTAAACACCACAGGCAGGAGGGGCCAGCCAGCAGTCTGCACAGGGATTAGCAGGAGTCCAGCCCCCCCGCCCACACTCACCAGCAGTGGTGGGGTGTAGTGGAAAAAAGTGGCCCCATTGCTTTGCTCTTCTGGCTGCATAGCTCAGGGTAGGGGCGGGACTGCCCTGCACTCCCCGGCAGGAAGCAGAGTGACATGGCAGTTGCAGAAGCAAAGTAGCAGGACTGCCTGGCTCCACTTCCCCTGCTACTGCTGGTGAGTGCTGGGAGGTGGCAGACCCCTGCTGCTGGCACCACCAGTTCCAGCCCTGATAATCCAAGGCCTCCTCAGAAGAAGAGGTGGGGATGGGGATGGAGCAAGGGCAGAAAGAAGGCAGAGCAAGGGAAGGGAGTGGCCTGGGCAGAAGGGGGTTGTCTCAGCCCTTTGCCAGACTAGGCAGAGGAATGACATGACTAGCAGCTTCCCCTCCCCCTGGTTTGCCCCTGAAGAGTCACCTCCATTCTTGACTATATTCTGCTCCTTCCAAGTGTCCCAGGAACATAAATGGGTTCAGGTCTCATTCCCACATATTGCTCCACAAAGTAAGCCAAGTGCACCAGGAAAAATAGGCTGCCTCCCTATGTTCATGCATAAGAGGAAACATAGGGAATGAAGGCACAGAGTTATACATGGCCTCCCACTGGGATAGCACAACTCCACCCAGCCCAGTCTCCAACTCAGGGCTGTGTGTTAAGGCACAACCGTACCCTAAGCAAACTGCAGCAGTATATTATTATGACCGGCAACCTGTTTACTAAGGAATAGTACATATTGCTTTGGCCTCTGCAATTTTAAATGAAATCAGAAAAATATTTACCATTTACATCATTTTGTATGTTTTCCAGAAATATTTTGCCTCTTCCCAGAAACCATCCTCAGCAAAAAACAGTGAGTAGCTAACACCACTAGAGAAGAATGCTTATAAATGATGAAGGACACTGCTGCTATCTGTTATTTGTATTAGAGATAGAATATAGAATTGCAGATTACTAAAGCATCAAAGAGCTATAGACTCATGTCATAATATTGTAATTGTGGAGTTAAAACTCCAATTGTATCCTTTTGGTTCAAAATTACTAACATGATTTTTTTTTACAAGTCATAACTGTACGAAAGAAATAGCTGGCATATACAACCGAGATGCTGAAGCTTACATCCATGAGTAAGCTTTGTGTTGCCCTGTTGAATTGAGTAGATTTATTTGCATGAGAGAAAATGAACCCTATTTCTATATTTTCCACCCTTTGTGGTTTAATATCTGCCATGCATTGATGGAGAATACATAGAGTTCTGCAAATCCACAGATATCTGTTTTACATGCACTGTATCTGTATCTGTGGCTGTGGATGCAGATAGCCACAGCTCATTTTTGTGGCTGCAGATACAAATTTTGTAACTAGAACCCTGCAAATTTGTGGATCTCTGCTTTATACCCATGGGTATCCACATGGATGGATGTGAATGAGGATATCCGCGGAACATTTTTGCAGATATAGATACAGACAGTCTCCATACAGGCAGCCGTACACTCTGTGAACTGAACCCATTCAACTCAGAGAGGTGTTAACTATGAATCATTATGGTATCAATGAAAACTTCAACATTAATTCATGCTGATCACTTCACTTCGGCAGGAATAGCCAGGTGATAGCATCTCCATCCTTGTTGGATTCACAGCAAATCCTGGAATTGGTTGCTCACAAGAGTTGCTGTAGAAGAGAGAGCTATGCCCCTAAAGTCACCATTGTTTCAAGAAGGAAAAAAATGAAATGAATCCCCTTCCCAGTGCCAAAGTCCTCAACTCTGTTTTGGGAGACAGAAACACAATATATTTCCTTGGTGTTAAGTACTCTAACTGTTCTCTTCCCAGATGTCAAACTCTTTGACTGATTCTAAAATGTAGTATTTTCAAAGCAAAAAATAACTATAGCACGCTGAAAATTTGGGGGTAGAGTAAAAACCACAGTTGATGCTTTTTATGATTGTATTAGTGAATTTTTTGTTCCCTGGTCCGGAGTATTACATGAAACAGGGGATCTTGCTGCTGAATTTAGCTTCAGTTTACTACGGAGAACTTGGGGCCCTGGGTGCCATGCTGGTGTGGTAAGAGTTAATTAACTGTTTGTTAAGTTATTTCAAGTTGCTGGCTGAATTGGTCAACGAGACTTAATATGATATACACTCTATACAAACATTTTAGACATTGATGCAATTCTAAATGGTCCATCCCAGAACACCTTCGTTCATTCCCAAGAATCTATTTACACTTTTTTTTTTAATTGCTGTATTGCAAGTGTGAGCTGACAAATACTGTGTATTTCAGTTTCAGGAGACCAATAGGAACGAAGCACATGATAATGATGAAAGTAAGTATTCTGCACTTAAGATATGGTGATTGTAAGAAAGGTTTATGGTCAATATATTACTGATTACCTCAAATGCAGTAGTACGTAATTTAAGCTAAATGGCAACCATCAATGTTAAGAAAGAGAGTTTGATGAACTACTAAAGAGCTGGGGAGCCGACAGCCTTTGTGGTCCCCTGGACAAGGTGTGGGGGGAGGGCTGGCTCCATGCTTCCAGAAGGGGAGGGAATAGGGACAGCTAGCCATCCGTGCCACCCAGAGTGTTCAGAGTAGCACTCTGGCAGTCAGGTCCCTTTAAATCGCTGTGTTAAATATTTATATTAAATATGCTGTGTGGATTTTTAGATCACAGCAGCAGTGGAGCTCAGGAATCCAAATTTCCCTCTTCTGGTACTACTCCATCACCATTACCCAGGGCATTGTAAGTAACACAATACCACTGCTTCTCTTTCATTTGTAATCAATTTAGCAATTAACAATTAAATCCTGCTCTTCCTGGAGGCAGCCATCAAAGCAAGAATTGTCTCTCCATGAATCATGAGTCCAGAGTAAGAGGCGTCCTGCCCTGGCAAGGACAAGAGAGGATTGCTAGTTGCAGGCCATGCTATTATTTCGCCAAGCTGGGCAAGTTTTCATGCTGTAATTGTTTCCAATTATTGCATGCTGTTGATAACAGAAAACCTGCTGGCCTGCTTAAGACAATCTAATACTGCAGTGTTGAGATCTTCAGAAATGCCTGTGTACATCTATAAAGCCATGCTCCTTTTCTTATAAGCCACTTAGTATTCTATCACGCATATAGATATGTTCCCACTACTACGTTTGAGACCTATATTAAATGTAAATGTCTCTGCTCCTTTTTCCTCTGTAACATAGGCCCAAGGAAGGGCAGGATTCAACTCAAAATTCCATCTCTGCCAGTAATATTATAGGTAACAGTTAACTATATACTTGAATGTTCAACACATTGCATGCATTTTTTTAAATAACCACTTTTTCAATCCTCAGAAAAAAGACACCTCATCCAGTAAAACCACCAGTAAGTAGACTTTGTATTTTCATAATGGTACTGTACAGTATCCGACCTGTGACTCTTCATCTGCTTATAAAGCTGAACTTGACCATAAATACACAGTTTTCTTAACTGGAATTAAGGAAAGAATTAAGAGTATTTTTGCTCCTTGATTAATTATCATTAATAGAAGTTACATACAGAATTGGAGAAAGTCTGTTACCACAAGAATGGTAGCAAATCCTCTGGCCTGCCACAGAGACTGATCCACTCATTGAAAAATATTTTGGGGCTATTGTGAAGGCTTTAATATATGAAATGAGTGGAGGGGAAGAGGAGTGGAAATCAT